CCTGGCAAACGGCAGGCTTGGACCCCCATGACGGGTTGTAATAAGGGTTTTAAGCGTTTGGAGGGTTTTTAAGGGTTTTAAGCTTTTAAGGGCTGGCAAACGGCAGGCTTGGACGCCTATAAGAAGACATTGATGTGTGGCCTTGGAGTGCCTGTTGGCCGCAGGATGAAGCATGCCAAGGTTCCCTTGTGTTTAAGGCCTGGCAAACGGCAGGCTTGGACCCCCCATGACGGGTTGTAAGGGTTTTAAGGGTTTTAAGCGTTTGGAGGGTTTTTAAGCGTTTAAGGGCTGGCAAACGGCAGGCTTGGACGCCCAAAAGAAGACATTGATGTGTGGTGTGGCCTTGGGGTGCCTGTTGGCTGCAGGATGCAGCATGGCAAACGGCAGGCTTGGACCCCCAGGACGTGGCAAAGGGCAGGCTTGGACGCCCATAAGGAGAAAGAAGACATTGATGTGTCGCCTTGGGGTGCCTGTTGGCTGCAGGATGAAGCATGCCAAGGGAATGTTTAAGCGATGGCTTTTAAGGGCTGGCAAGTGGCCTTGGAAAGCTAAGGAGAAGTTCCACACCTGCGGTGGTCCCAGGCGCCGCCCCTGCCTTGGCCAAGGCCGGGGTCGGCGGATTTTAACATATGGAAATGCTTGAAAAACAGCATGTTTTGTTAGTTCATGAAAGTTCATGAAAGTTCATGAAAGTTCATGAAAGTTCATGAAAGGACGTCAAAAACATTTCAACGTATTTCAACTACAAGATGACGAGATATCGGAGATATGACAGCTAGTTTGAAGATATTTGATGTTTGAACACTTTGGCATACTTTGGCCATGTTTGGCCTTTCAGAATCAACCTCAGGAAGGACAATGGCGAGGGGAAGGCAAGCACGGGCAGGTCGAAACCCCTGAGTTTGTGCCCAACGGAGCCTTTCTGGATCGAACTTGGACAGCTTCACCTTGCCGTGGTGTAGCAGAAATTTCTCGTAGCTGATAATTCGAACGTACAATTGAACGCTTAGGCAAAACACGGCAAACTTATGCAAAATGAAGGTTTTGGCCCGTGGGCTAGCTGAAATGTGCCGGTCCACTTTTTGCGTCCTTGAAAAACAACCCTGAAGACCTTGACGCGGTATTTGCTGGAAATTTCAACTTCCCACACCCTCCATTCTTCTTGTCATTTTTTGGGTGTTCGAAGTCCACTGGTGCTCATTGTCATGATGCTCTTCACAATTCTCACGATACTAATCCTCCTCGTCGTCCACCTCATCATCATCACCTTCATCTTGATCTTCATCTTGATCTTCATCTTGACCTTCATCTTGACCTTCATCTTGATCTTCATCTTGATCTTCATCTTGATCTTCATCTTGATCTTCATCTTGATCTTCATCTTGATCTTCATCTTGATTTTCATCTTGACCTTCACCTTGACCTTCACCTTGACCTTCATCTTGACCTTCACCTTGACCTTCATCTTGATCTTCATCTTGACCTTCATCTTGACCTTCATCTTGACCTTCATCTTGACCTTCATCTTGACCTTCATCTTGATCTTCATCTTGACCTTCATCTTGACCTTCATCTTGATCTTCATCTTGACCTTCATCTTGACCTTCATCTTGACCTTCATCTTGACCTTCATCTTGACCTTCATCTTGACCTTCATCTTGATCTTCATCTTGATCTTCATCTTGACCTTCATCTTGATCTTCATCTTGATCTTCATCTTGACCTTCATCTTGACCTTCATCTTGATCTTCATCTTGATCTTCATCTTGATCTTCATCTTGATCTTCATCTTGATCTTCATCTTGATCTTCATCTTGATCTTCATCTTGATCTTCATCTTGACTTTCACCTTGACCTTCACCTTGACCTTCACCTTGATCTTCATCTTGATCTTCATCTTGACCTTCATCTTGACCTTCATCTTGACCTTCATCTTGACCTTCATCTTGACCTTCATCTTGACCTTCATCTTGACCTTCACCTTGATCTTCATCTTGACCTTCATCTTGATCTTCATCTTGACCTTCATCTTGACCTTCATCTTGACCTTCATCTTGACCTTCATCTTGATCTTCATCTTGATCTTCATCTTGACCTTCATCTTGATCTTTCATCTTGATCTTCATCTTGACCTTCATCTTGACCTTCATCTTGATCTTCATCTTGATCTTCATCTTGATCTTCATCTTGATCTTCATCTTGATCTTTATCTTGATCTTCATCTTGACCTTCATCTTGACCTTCATCTTGATCTTCATCTTGATCTTCATCTTGATCTTCATCTTGATCTTCATCTTGATTTTCATCTTGACCTTCATCTTGACCTTCATCTTGATCTTCATCTTGATCTTCATCTTGATCTCCATCTTGATCTTCATCTTGACCTTCATCTTGATCTTCATCTTGACCTTCATCTTGACCTTCATCTTGATCTTCATCTTGATCTTCATCTTGATCTTCATCTTGATCTTCATCTTGATCTTCATCTTGACCTTCATCTTGACCTTCGTCTTGATCTTCATCTTGATCTTCATCTTGTCATCCATTCATCATCCATTCACCCTATTTGGAACACCATCATCCTGATGCCGACCTGGTTTTTCCGGGTTTTGTTTGCACCCTATGCGACGTGAGCTGCCAGGGCAAATTGACCTTTGCAGACGGCTCCAAATACGAGGGCCAGTTCGAATCTGATCGAAAGCACGGCGTTGGAAAGCTGGGGCCCAGATTTCAAGCTCCAGATCGTTGATGATTGTTGATGATTGTTGATGATTGTTGTACTTGTTACATCTTCAAACACGTCTTTCTAAGTCTCGGGTGTCTTTCAAAGGCACCTGATTTTGTGCTTGGTTTTCATATGTTTTCATCAAGTCTGCATGTTTTTTGGTTGCATTTCTAAGATGTTCTACTGGATGGTTCCCAGATGTTCCAAGGTACACCTACAGCAATGGTTCCACCTATGAAGGCCAGTGGAAAATGGAGGCCCGTTTATTTTTTGGAGCTGAGCGACTCACATGTTGCAGAAGACAAACCATGTTTTATCCATGCGAAGACTTGATGCATCTTGATGCGCTAGGTGCAAGATGGCCATGGAATAGAGAAACTGGTCGATGGCTCTGTCTTTGAGGCGACACAAAGGATGATAGCACTGATTTCTTTTGGACGTTTCTCTATGTGTTCACTATACTTATAGTATCTTATAGTCATTTATAGTCTTATAGTATTTTTCTTACCCTTTATATTATATCATTTTATATCATAGTGAATATCTATTGTTATTCAGAAGCAGCTAGACCTAGCAGCTCGACCCCGGTAATCCGAACATGCAGTGCCGCAGGGCCAGTTCAAGAATGGCGACAAGAGTGGCAAGGGCAAATTCACCTGGAACACTGGTGGATCCTATGAGGACAGACAGCGGAAACTAAACGATGTGTTTGTTGAAAGCGATGTGATCACTGTTAATTGTGATGTATCATAACCCATAGGATCCATGTATACCCCCTTTATGTTAGTATATATATATACCATTATATACCAGCACCATGGATCCTATGGGTAATTTTATGTGATATCGGATCGTGACTTAACTGTTGTCAACTATGCGAAAACTGAGATTTCGACATTTCGAAGATTCGACAGCGATCGCCACGAGTCGCCGTCGCTAGGGTGACTTTGATGCCAACGATATGCATGGAGAAGGCCAATATCAGTGGAGTGATGGCCGTTCCTATACCGGGCAATGGCGAAGGACGGAGTTGGACGTGGCCAAATTTTTGCTGCTACGCAAGCTGAGTGAACACTGATGACTTTTGTCAGACACTTTTTTCTTGCTGAGTTATATTAATATCATTATATTATAAATGAATTCCAGGAAGAACACCATATTTATCCATATTTACATTATGTTTCATCATGTTTTGCATTATACGTTATCCAATTTGCACTATTTGCATTGCGGCCAAAGATCTTTTCCTTATCATTCGTACATATATATATATATACATATACATATGCATGACCATGACACAATGACCTGATGCCGCAGGAATCATATGGGTCCATATGGCACCATGAAGTGGACAGATGGGCGATGCTATGAGGGCCAGTTCAGAGATGGCCTCGCCGTCTCGTTGGTGTCGTTGAATCCATGGCGCCGATGGCCGATGGCGCCATCGATGCCAGGCAAGAAGCATGGAGAAGGCAAGCTTTCTTGGCCTGATGGACGATCCTACACAGGTGGGAAACGGGTGGAAAACGGAGGATGCCTACACAAAAAAAGTGTCTCTTTCTTCTTTTGAATTTCAGGTGTTCTATGATTTCTATGGTTTGCTATGGTTTTCTATGTGTTTCTTCGTGTTTCAGGAAGGTTCAAACCTTTCCTCCCAGGTCAGTGGGACAGTGGCCGACAGCATGGAGTTGGGGTAGCAGTTACCGCCAAAGGTCCGGTTTTTCGGGTCACCCGATGTCACCCGGTCACGGACGGTCACGGGTCATCCGGTCGTGCTGCTGTTGGCTGTTGATTTTTCGGTCCCTCCGATCGGGTTATGACATGTTATGACATGTCTGATAGGCCTTTCAAAAAATTCCCAGTGGGAGCACGGCAACTTCATCTGCTGGCTGGAGGACTAGACTGGGTCGACGGTGTTTTTGGCAAGTTTGGCAAGTTTTGATGGAAAATACAACGAGATCCAAAGGCTTTTTGTTTGTGTGTGTTTCCCCAAAAAGTCATCTATAGCCCTATTGCATCTCCCAAACCAGCTCGATTGTGGTTCACTCTTTGAAATATTCTTCAATTGTGAATCATCGAATCATCGTTGGAAAACTCGTTGCTCAAAGTGCTTTGGGTTGATCCAAGTTTTATCATCCAATATGTTGATTTCCAGAGGGGGAATTCCCAATTTTTTTTGATCTCAAAAATGATCCAAAAAATGAATGAATGAATTAGGGGGTACCCCAATAGTATTGATATGGTTTATTCACGTCGCTTCGCGACGGCAACCGCCCGCACCGCATCGTTGGGCAGCCGCTCGTAACTGCCAATGATGTCGGCCATTGAGACCAAAAACATCCGAAAGTACTGATTGTCGGAAAAAAACACGCGAAGAATTTGATAGCCATGTATAGCGGACCAACGCAGTTCAAAAAATAACGAACACCATGAAAAAACGGCGAAATTGCTGTTATTTACAGTGTTTTTGCGCGGTGAGAAGCAGAAACCACTGCAAATACCATGGTTTTTGAGGGTCAGGTGGCCAAAAACACTGTAATTTACAGTGTTTTTTTAACCAACGTCAAAAAACACTGGTATTTACGATGTTTTCATTCACACCGTAACATAAAACAGCGTAATTTACGAGGTTGTTGGAAGTTTTGAAGCTAGCCGTCAAGCATGCAGAAAACAGAAAAACACTGTAAAAACCAGTGTTTCTGCTATCACAAAACGACGAAATCAGTCCGAAAACGGGTCCAAAAACTCCAAAATCCGCCTCCGGGCCAGGCCACCTGCGGAACCGCAAAAAAAGATGTTGCAAACCAAAAAATTGAGGTCAAAAAGTTGAAAAACACGTTTTTTTTTCACTTTTCGCTTGCCGATTTTGGACGGGCGCGTTCACGAACAGGTGTCTTCCGTACTGTTTTTTACAGTTTTTTTTGAAGGCGAGCGTCACGCCCTATCAAAAACAGGAGGTTTTGGCCGAAAAATGCCCCCCCCCCCAGGTAAACCTGTAACCTTTTACGAGTGCCATCCGGAAGATCACGCCCCAGCACCTTCGGTGCGGGCGGATTTCCATGGAAAATCCATCATCCATGGATGAAAGCTGGGGGTGTTTTTTTCCATTTTTCATCATTTTTCCATGACTTCGGAAACTCTGAAAGATCATTCGATTCCATGGAAATTCAGAGGTTCAGCTCTTGGGAGGATTGAACCTCAATAAATCCCCAAAGTATTGCCCACGTCTCCAGGAACCTCCCGAGGTCACAGGCGAGACCAAAACCTGAGACCAAGACCTGGCCTGGGATTAAGGCAACAGCCAAGAACTGTCGTGAAAAAGTAGAAACATAGAATATCAATGAATGACATAGAATCATATAGAATAATATATGAATGAATCATTAATACAATATGTATATATATATATATATATTGTATTTATTGAATGTTAATACTATGTGCCGCATTGTGGAGTCAAAACATAGGTCAAAACAAATAGGGTTTGTTTCGAACATGGCTTTTCCGGTTGTCTAAAGAGCCCAGGGATTAAAAATCACCAGGCTGCGTAGTGAGGTCAAAGAACCCATGATAAATCCATGGTGCCGGTGCCTGTGCAACACCGAAACGCGTTGAACAGAAAAAGACGCGAAGCGGTGGGGGTTTTGGATGGGACATGATGGGAGGGACAATTTCAGTTGACCATTCTGGACTCTGACCGTGTGACCATTCCAAGCTGTGACCGTGTGACCGTGTGACCGTGTGCCCTTCCAGCGTCAAAGACAGCACGTTCGACTTGGTCTCCACGAAGTTTCCAGAAAGAACTGCACCAGTTGGACAGTCTGAAGGCTTTCTCTGGAAGTTCATCACAAGTTCATCACATGTCCTGTTCAACATCATATTTTTCAAGTCACGAGAATCTTCAAATCTTTACCCTCTGGTAAATTAACATGGACCCTGAAAATAGCCTAGTTTTGGAAACTAATCTTCCATCCCCGATGACTGCCAGGGTCTATGTTAATTTACCAGGGTGTAAATCTTAGAACTTTCGAAACCGGGTTTCCCGAAGCCGCCGCTTGGTGCCAATGAGCTGAATTTCCATGGCTGAAGAGCCGCAGGCGAGAGGGCACTCGGCGACACCTCTGAGACTATGAAAAGAAAACAAACCAGCAGAGATATCTTAAGATAATATTAATAATATTAATAAGATTAATAAGATTAATAATATTAATAATCATACTAAATTATATATATATAAATATATTATATACAAAAATATTATGTACACAGATATTCAAAGAATTTCAAAGATATATCTGTTTGAGGCTCGCATCTTGGTTCTAGGTTTGTTGCGACCAGGAAGGACAGGCATTTCAGGCATTTCGTCACAGAGTTTTAGTCACAGAAAGTTTAACTGGTGCATCGTGGGAGATTTATGGAGATTCGTATAAAACATGACATGTATGACAAAACTTGACCAAATGAATGAAGAAGGGGGCTCTTCAAGTTTTGCAAGGAAAGATCATTGTGCCATCTATTTGGAATTTTTTAATAAGTTCCACCAACAAACTTGATCTTCATTAATATCAGCTACATCTTGAGCTATCTCTTGATATGGAGGTTTCCTGAAATATCTGAAATGGGGGTACCCCTAGTCATCATCCATTTTAAATAGGATTTTCCATTATTTCAACTATCCATTTATGGGGTATCCCATTTATGGAAACCTCCATATTTTCATAGAAATCATGGGCCCGTTTTGTGGAGCTGTGGCGCTTCACGGCCTAGATGGA